GAATGAATGTGCCATGGCTGACAGCACATATCAAATCGCCTGATTAGTTGGGGCAAGACTTTACCAAAATGAAGAAATCATGCAAGTAATAGACTGCTCATTCTGTGTATTTTTGGCCAACGTTCGGTCTTCAAACTCCCTAGAACAAAATCACGACCCCAAAGACTAATAAGAAAAAACTTTTTTAACGAGGGACAGATTAATATTTCGGCGAAAATAAATTACCAGGAAACAGGTTCAGCCTCGAGACTAAGTTTGAAACTGTACGGTAAAATTTAATTGTTTGTTGATTAACGTTCACCGATCGCTAACGGAGTTTGCTCGTCTCCTGCTGCCTCCGATGGTGCAGCACCCGGGTTTGAGCATCATTGGCTAATGACGGATAATGAGCCAGAAATTGTCATTTCAGTCTTCTTTGTCTTTTTCGGTAATGTTCACCCACCTAAAATTTCAGTTGTTGTAACTATTAGGCACAATGCCCTTTTCGGTAATGTTCACCTACATAAAATTTCAGCTGTTGTAACTATTAGGCACAATGCTTCCAATACGCTGATTTGCAGTGTCCATACAAGTCATCAATTGGTCACACTGATTCTGAGCTTCTTTTACTCAAGACATATGTCTGACGGCTTGAATTACAGCGTCTGTTAAGGATGTCCATGGAGGGATACACTTTCATTCTTTTTTCTCTCCCTGATTGTATTTAGCATACTTATTCGCAAACGAAATCTATCGGCATAGATATTAATCTTGTCAGACAGACCCAGTTAGTATAAATGCAACTCAAATGCAAGGATTGAGAGCTTCTTTCGCAAGTCAAAATACTTTTCACCACACCAGTTTAACCCTCCTTTCGTAAATTAACAATAAAGTAAAATTCACTCCCAACGCAACTACACGGAGTGGGGGAATCGAAGAAGGTTATGGTAAATTTCGGAGGGGGAGGGGTGACTTGCCACTGAAGTCAATAAACTATAGACAGTGCAAATACTTTAAAACTAGTTGATTTTGGCGTTTGAACGCGGTATGAACGTGTCAGAGTGCTTACAAACTG